AAAGGAAACATACTAACAAGTTCAGCAACTTAAAAACCATTTCAGAAGTTATGCGTATACCAGGATTTGAAACTTTACATTATTTATTAAGTTTTGAAATATGTTCACACGCTTGCGTTTAAGCTAATTCACCTGGCACTCCTCACGAAGTTCCTTATCGATGGGTACGCGTTCGTGACGTATTTGCAAGTAACTGCAACTTTCCAACACAACTTCGGGTGCGCCTTTGATCATCACTACGAAAATGGCTCCACCATCGAACTGCTTTAGCTTTGCCAAATCCTCTTCTGATGGCTGTGTTAGATCGCGCGCAACAACCAGGTGATAACGACGCACCGAATTGAACGGCACTTCGAACACCCTCTGCAAATAATCATGCTGTTCACTGCTTCTGAAGCAACGCTGCAGGCGGTCAGCTCTTTGTCATAAAATTAAGCGTTCAACAGACTAAAGGATAATTTATGAATTCGTCGGCCGCTGTAATAAATTTGTAAAACTTAACGGAATTTTCTATGCGGTTGAACAAAACTCGAAACCGAATGTCTTCAGCTAAGCTGCGCTGGTGTCCAATTTTTCAATCTCGCCCAAGATCTTTACTTGTCTATTTAGCAGCGGAACTCCGAAAGTTGATTTTTACTTCAATTCCTAACAAATTACATAACTGGAGTGAACGATTTTTCAACAACTACAGGCAAAAATAAAGAAACATTAACGTCTAAGCCCCTACTCATGCGTTTTGTACAAATCAGTAAGATATTATGGGAGGATTATAATTATTTGTGAATATCCAAATCAACTTCAGAGCTGCAAAGGTGAAGGAGGAAGTTTTGGGCTCGAACAATCCCTAGTGAGATATGAAGCTGTATACACAAAAACATTCCCAGATCATTTTGCTTTCCTTCTACTGCCATACATCGGCACTGCGCGAATTACGCTACCAGCAGCTTTAGTCTAACGCATGATGCGAGCTGAAAAATTGGGATATCTGAATATGTTTTTCATTGTAGCCACAAATCTTGATTTCCAGCAAAATGCGGCACCAACGCGGAGCGCACGAGAGATTTTGGTAGTTCCTAACAATAATAATCACTGCGAAACGGAACAGCCAAAAGCGCGCATCCATAACATCCTTCGACTAGCTTTGGTTTCATCGTGGTACAGTTCCGGCCGCTGGCATAGTGGAAAGTATTTTTTTCTAACTTCCAGATTTTCTCTAACACATTTCAGTTGGCAGGAATCAACCATCCTACAAATTTGGCGACCACTCAAGGGAAACTATGCGATCGAGAACGACTTAAATAATTGGCCAACGCACCGACTGCCGGTGCGAAGATGCGTTTTTTGCATTGTTCCCCAGTAGGTTTTTGCTGCTAACGGCACTGGTTTTCCCGGCAAATGCTTCTAGCTAATCAAACTGAGACTGGTTGCCAGGATTGACAGGAAATACCCCTTAAAATTTCTGCTTTCTAGCTTTCTTGGTTCCCTAGTTAGCAACTTGCTTATCAAAAATTTTCACGAGCAGAACCACAAACCTGGGAGCTGAATTTGAAGTCATCAGACTGTATGTGGACGAAGCTTTCCAACTTCCTCTTTAAAATTCTGGCTTTCCAACTATTCAACTTACCCGCAGAAACCTTTCATAGGCCCGTAAATGGGGACCGCGCATACCTGGGGGCCTAAACCAGTTAAGACCTACGTGGATGGGGAACATCACCTCAAAATTCTAATCCCCTAGTTTTTCAGATTCTCGAATTAGCAACTTACCTGCAAAAGAATTTCGAGGGCCCGCACGTGAGTACCGTACAGGTAAGAGCGCCCATTTTGGGGACGGGGTCTGCACATGCATGTGGATTTAGTTCCCAGAGTTTCAGCCCTGTAGCTTTTGTAGGTTTCGAGACGAAATATCGGTACAGACACACACAAATACACACAAAGACAATCCCTTGTCAACATGCGTTTTCTGCGTTGCATAAAAAAAGCATAAAAATACATTGACCCTCAAGCAATTTAGAGCGAGATTGACGCCCCGTTCCACGCAGGGCTGTGTATAACAATCCTATAATAACTTTTTTATCAGCATTTGTGCTTCAGCTTTGGCCTAGAATTGCGCTTTGGTTCAGTAGATATAGCTGTCAGGATTCTGAGCCACCGCAAAATTTCCCCAACAGAGTGTGGCGTAATAGGTCTCCTACAAAAGCCACACTGTTCAGCGTCAGCTCTTGCAGGTGGTTGGTATTCACATTCTTGTTATTATTCCGTAATTACGTCTAGCGCGTTTGGCAGTCATAATGAAGCAAATTGTGCAGATAGGATTTCAATAATTTGTCAAGAAATTGTTTTTTTTT